GTGTCCCGCAAGAGTGTTGCACGAGAGTGTCTCCTACAAGAGTGTCCAACAAGAGTGTTGCACGAGAGCATATCCTACAAGAGTGTCTCACAGGAGTGTCCCACAAGAGTGTGTCCTACAAGAGTCGTCCCACAAGAGTGTTGCACGAGAGCATCTCCTACAAGAGTGTCTCACAGGAGTGTTGCACAAGAATATCTCCTACAAGAGTGTCCCGCAAGAGTGTTGCACAAGAGTATCTCCTACAAGAGCGTCCCACAAGAGTGTCAAACAATGTTTGGCCCTTTGTTTTCGGGCGCATGTGTGCATTCGGGTTCGTGGACTCCATCTTGTTTTTTGCTCGAGAAGATCTCATCGCAAAACCATCAGCTGATCCCTAGAACTCTGCCGAACAAAAACACCAAACTCCATGCCCACACGACCACACCCCCAAGACCCACAAGAGGAAGTCCACTGCTTGGTGGAGGTTGTGGAGCTCAATCTTGGTTTGAACAGGTTTCATTTTGAGCTGCGTGTCGACCACGGTAAAATGTTCAACCCGTGCTCTGATCCGATCATTGCTACTTGATATGTTCAGAAGCCGCCTTGGCCGGGCTATCAAAAAGAAAATTAATATATATCAAAAAGAAAATTTCTATATCCTATCAAAAAGAAAATAAATTCGTATCAAAAACAAAATATCTCTCACAAAGAGCTGCGCCTGCCACTGCAAACCGCCTTGGCAGCGCTGCGCGATGTGAATCTGGATGTGCAGATTTCGTGGCGCGGGCCGCACTTTGAGCATCTCCAGTAGCAGATTTCGTCGCAGGAGCAGCACTTTGTGCACTGGAACTGCAGATTTCGTGGCGGGCGCAGAACTTTGTGCACTGGAACTGCAGATTTCGTGGCAGGCGCAGCACTTTGAGCACCTCCAGTAGCAGGTTTCGTGGCAGGAGCGGCACTTTGCACATTGGAAGTGCAGATTTCGTGGCAGGCACAGCGCTTTGAGCACCTCCATGCAGCAGGTTTCGTGGCAGGAGCGGAACTTTGTACGCAGCACTTTGAGCACTTTCAGTTGCAGGGCTCGTGGCAGGCGCAGCATTTTGCGCACTGGAACGAGCTCTTGATATCTCTGGATCTGAACATCTTTCTACACCCTCTGCAAGTATAGACTCCTAGAACTTAGATTTCACCACCTCCCTGGATCTCAAGACTCAAGACCTCTAAACCTCCATCTTTAGGTCTGTCGTTTTCTAGACCTCTACACCTGCAGATCCGTCTGGATCTCCAGGCGTCTGGATCTTTGTAGATGTAGACCTCTCTGCATCTCAACCGTGATCTCTCTGAATTTCACGATGGCTCACAAAACCACAAGACCTGTGGATGGCTCACAAAAGGTCTGCTATGTTGGAATGGCACCTTCCCCCTCCAAAGTTTATGCTGACAACAGGTCTGCTCCTGTAACTTTTGCCCTCGCGTGGCTCACAAAAGGTCTACTGCTCCTCTAAATTTTGATCGCAAAAGGTCTGCTACCTTGGCGTGGCACCTAGAGTTTATCCCCGGGTGGCTCACAAAAGGCCTGCTACGTCGGAATAGCAAGTTCTACCCTCGCGTTGCTCACAAAACAAAGGCCTGCTACGTTGGAATGGCAACTTCTTCCTCTAAGTTTTAACCTCGCAAGGCTAACAAAAGGTCTGCAACGTTGGAATGGCTCCTTCCTCTTCAAAATGTTGCCCTCAGGTGGCTCACAAAAGGTTTGCTACCTTGGACTGGCACTTCGTCTAAATTTTACCGTCAGGGTGGCTCACAAAAAAAGGTGTGCTACGTCTGGCAATAAAAGGCCTGCTACGGTGCTTCACAGGATGTATGACCAGATTTCCAAATCACCTTTAACGCGTCTTGCCTCGAAAGTACAGACCCAAGGACCCGAAGACCAGGACGAAGGACCAAAGGACCAAGGACCAGAGGACCAAGGGACCAGAGGACCAAGGGACCAGAGGGACCAAGGGACCAGGGGACCAAGGGACCAAGGGACCAGAGGACCAAGGGACCAAGCGACCAGGGAACCAGCAGACCAGGACCAAAGGAGTAGGGGGAATTTTATGTTTGATATGAATTAATGTTTTTTGATAGGAATGAATTTTCTTTTTATAGGAATCAATTTTCTTTTTGATAGGTATCCCAGCCGCCTTAATGTAGACTGTCGATTCGTAAGACCTCCTGCATAGAGACGCAAAGCCATTCTAGGGGGTTATTGATCAACAGTCAGACTATCAATTACAGTATTACATCTTGTAGCTTGGTGGCAGTTCCAAAAAAGATCTGGGGCCCACACCAAAGGAATGCAAAGACCGAGGACCATCAGATCCTGATGGAAAATGAGTGGCGTCCGTGGAAATCACCCTTCTCTCTCATCGCATTGAAAACACACGAAGGTCTCGCTGCTGCTGATGCACTGATGGTCGGAAGATATCCCCTGCAGGAACTTGGACCAAAAACACGAGTGGCTTCTGGGGAAACCGAGGGAAGACACCCCAGACCTTCATTTCTCAGTTCTTCCCACCCACAACCCCGGCTCGGCCCGGCTGCAACCCTCGAGTCAGTCCCGCGGGCCCCCCGGGTCGGTGCGAACTCGCCTTCGGAGGGAAAACCCATCTGGCCCAAAGTCTTCACGACCATCTCAGTACATCTCTCCACCCGCTATGCGGCGGCCCAGCGCCAGAGATGAGGGTGTTCGTGGCCCCACCCCTTTTACTATCTACTTATACCTTCTAATTTCGCGGACAGACCAAGGGTCTCATATATGTCTTTTCCTTTTCTTGAGATACCCCTGAAAACCAGAAGAAAGGATGGTCCACTACATCAGAATTGTGAAGACGATCGTTCTTTGCGGTCACTCTTTTTGAGCGAGCTTGAGTTCGTGGATGTTCTCTACGTGGGTCTATCCTCCAAGCACGCTCCACTTGCTTGGCCGAGTTGAGCATCTCTTGCTCCCAAGGCCCAAAAAGATCAATGCCTCAAGAAGAAGCGAGCTAAAAAGAACTTCCACTAGGAGCACAAAGTGGTGGTTTTTGAGTCCCCAAGTGAGTGGATGTTCTGGGCACCCAACTCCTTCCTCAGTTCGGCACCCCAAAAGAGGTGATCTGACTCCCAGCTCCAGCTTCTTCATGACCCCTTTGGAGTGTCAGCCACCGCCCAAACTCCTGACCGAACCAACTGGGAGTGCCAACTGACTCGGTCACGAACGGTTCGGCTGTTTCTTGTTGCTTCGGGTGTCCCCAAATTCATCCAAGATTGCAGGTGATCCGGTCGCCCTCCTGCCCTCCTGCCCGCGCGAAAACGAACTTCTTTGCGCGGCTGGCACGCGCCTGAGTCAGGGGGGCCTCCATGTTCTCGAACTTCCAAACCTCAAAGAAGCCACCGGGCCACCGAACGAAGCTCTGGGTGAGCGCAGGTAGCGAAGAAGCAGGTACCACTTGGTGTTCTTTGTGGTTGAGGAATCCTTGAAATGTGTTTGTTTGTTCTCTTTGGTCCTGCTTGAAGCTGTCTTAAAATGATTCATAATTTATGTATCAATTGCTTCTGATTTGAATGGTTCACGTCCTTCTGGAAGACAATGAAAGACATTTTTGAAGGTTGCCCCTAAGGCCCCAAAACTCCCAGATGGGGGTTTTGGGGCTTTGATAGGCTCATCAACCCTTTGGAAGCGGTCCTTGCAACGATGCAGGACTTCGAATGGTTTATCGAACGTTTAAAAAAACAACAAAAGAATCGCAGAGCGAACTTGTCATCTGTACATTCATCCACCTTCTGTGATCACTTCAAGTGCGCATCCTCTTTCCACCTCAACAACTGCCACGCAACCGAAATCCTCCCAGTGCTTGAGGTCGTGTCCACAAGGTCATGTCTATATATAAGGTTTATCTCAAAAGCCCAGTCATCCCTGATTCGATCCGCAGGGCTGTGCCATGCCAAGTATTGGGAAATGATGGTCCTCAGTCCTCAGATTTCTGGAAGTCTTATGACAAGTCCCGTCTGGGGGCTCTCTCTCTGTCTCTCTGTCTCTTTATGTGTTTTTCTCTCCTTTTTCTTTATGTGTCTTCCTTTCCTTTTCTTCCTTTCGTGTTTCCTTGTTTCTTCCTGTCTTTTCCTTCCTTGTTCTTCCTTTTTCTTTCTTCCATTATCTTTCTTCCTTTCTTTTTCTTCCTTTCCTTTTTCCTTTTTTCTTTCTTTCTTTTCCTTCCTTGTTATTCCTTCCTTGTTCTTCCTTTTTCTTTCTTCCTTTCTCTTTCTTCCTATCTTTTTCTTCCTTTCGTTGTTCCTTTCTTCTTCCTTTCTTTTCCTTCCTTGTTCTTCCTTTGTCTTTCTTCCTTTCTCGTTCTTCCTTTCTTTTTCTTCCTTTCCTTTTTCCTTCTTCCTTCCTTTCTTTTCCTTCCTTGTTCTTCCTTCCTTGTTACTCCTTGTTCTTTCTTCCT